TCGCCTGTCTGGCTTTGCTGTTTGTCAAGTAACTTTTAGTTATATATATATGCTCTTATGATATTATATTGGCCCCTTTAATCTTTGGTTATACTTCCCTTTTGGGTGTTTAAGGACATACCATTGGACCAGATAAACTGATTTGTTTTCACTCTTGGGGTCGTTTGAGGATCTGTTCCTCAGGGGTCACGTGGGCTTGGGAGGAGCATTTTCTTTTAAACAATCACCTGGAAGCAGCCTCAAGTGATGGAATATGTCTTCTGACTTACGATGTGTACAACATTATTTTGACAGCCAAGTTGAATATGTGACAAATTTTTTAATTAGATAGTGTTAGAAAAATGCTTCTTGGAAGAATAAATATATATTTAAGTTAAATTTTTCTTCATGGTATCAAAATGTAGTGTTGTGTTTCTGGAAGACTTGTTGAATACCTACCACACCAACCCTTCAGAACTTTTTTTTCAGTTTAACAAGAAAAGCAAAATTTTAAACAATTGGATGGTTGTCATTCTGGAAATTCACTCCATTTCATTTTTATTGGGCATCAAGTAAGGAATAATGTGTTACTTCATACAGCTATACTAACAACTGCCAGTAAGTGCTTATAAAAATAAGTCATATTTTCATGCCAAGAAGTTTAAAAAACAAATTCCAATAGATTTTCAGCATGTTCCATTTATATTTGAGAAACTGGTTTTGTTATCTAACTTGATTTTACATAATTTAACTGACTTTATGGCTTAAATTCTTACCCATACTCCAAATGTATGCCAATATATTAAATCCTAATAATATATATCATTCTGTTCCTTAGAAATGGAGTCTATATAGATAGAATCAAGTTGTAGTGCAGTTACTAAGATGGACCCTAATCCAATATGACCAATGTCCTTATAAATAAATAAGAAATTTAACACTAAGACAGACATGCAAAAAGACACTGTCATGAAGATGCACAGGGAGGATTCTACCTGACAACAGAAGGCAAAGGAGAGATATATCTGGAATCCAAAGAATGCCTGAGGCTACAACTAGCTAGAAGAAAGGCACAGAAGGGTGCCTTTCCTAGGAGTTTCAGAAGGACAGTGGTATTATCCACATAGCACTTTCAGATTTCTGCTTTTCAAAATAGTGAAACAAGAAAATTCTGTTTTATATCAACCAATTTCTGGCACTTTGTTATAGTAGCCCTAAAAATCGTATATACTCCCCTAATTTAAGAATGGTCAAGAGAGCATCGCAGATTTTAATCAAGTGGATATATTTGTATCCAGTGAGCAGATCAACATAAAATCTCTGCTGTTTACAGTCACAAATGCATAAAGAACTTGGTGCTGCCAATTTGTACTCTACACTTTGTCTCTCAATTAAACTTAATGGAGTTATTAAAATGGGACTTGAAGATTTGGATTTCTATATATTTTAGAGTAATACGTATGATTCGTTTAAAATTTGATATTAACGTAATTAAGATAAAGTGAAATATTCTGAAGTTATTTTTATAAGACCAGTTTAAACGAAATAATATAAGGTGTAGAGAACTGTATATTAAGTTCTGATTCTGCCATTAATCTTATGTGATTTCAAGTTCCCTGTCAGTAAAATGTGCTTCACATAATAAAATGAATATAAAAAAAATTAACGATAGCATGAAGAGATGTAAATGCAGTTACATAGTACAACTCATAGTGGGCTTGCCTGGCATTTGACAAGTGAATATTATTTTAGCTCTATTAAAATATGCAAAGTTCAAAATTTATACTTCTAAAACAAGTTTTAGAACAAAAAAATTACTTACCTGGTCTGTATTTAGTTTCTCCACTTTTCTTATTGTTTTTTCATAAATTACATTGTTTCCTGGGAAGAAATGGCCTCCTCTCAGGAAAGGAGATATTGGTTCCTATAAAGAAAGTAAAGGCTATGTTTTTATTTGCAAGATATCGTTTACATAGGAACTCCAGAAAATGCCCAGTATCTAATATGTTCTGGGGCGGTAACAGATTTTTAGGATGATAAAGGAACGATTCCTCAAAATGTTTCTGCCAGGACAAAGAAAATAATATTGAAGACAGTACATTTATTCACAGAGAAATATCTGAATTCTTCCTATTTTTAGTAGGTTTTTAGGGGAACTTTGAAGGAAGTAGAAAAGATAATGCTTTTTTCTGTTTCTGAAAAGCAAGATAAAATATGTTTCTTCTGAGGCAGACTAGCATGGGATTGACATCATTTGAATTGGGTTCACTGGCAGTTTTCTTTCTGGGCAAAAGTATTAGAGAAATGTACAATAAATATAATTCAACCCTACTAAGCCATAAAGTAGGTAAAATTGCACTAAAGTGTTTTTCTAGAACTCAATTTTCATATCCTTGAAGTGTACAATTCCTACTTGTGATTACAATCAAAGATAAGACTCTCAGTACAAGGTATGTTTTGAATACTGAGAACAGAGTAGAGGCTTTAAGAGCCACTGTATCTCTTGTGTAATCAGCTAAATTGCTATAGGATTAACCAAGTATTTAGAAGATGTCAGCCAATGAAATAAAGGTTAGTAACATGTCCAAGATCAGAAAGAAAAGACTAATGAGAATCAGAAAAAACTAATGAGAATCAGAGAGGGAGTCAAAAATAAATGTAATTTGCATCACACTGCTTTGATTTTCATTTGAGTCATTACTTAAATTGTGCATTTTTCACAAAATAAAAATTGAATGCATTTATTTTTAGTATATTTGTTAAAATCATGAAATTGTTGAAAATGTGATGCAAAACCAAAATCTGGAACTATAACAATCATATGAAGTTTTAGAATCAAAACAGAAAAAATATCATAGAAATCGGTGAGAAATGATTCAGCAAGTAGTTAGTAAGAAGTAAAACACAAAAATGTTTCAGAGAAGTCAGTGTGTGAGACCTGCAAAGGAGATGGAGTTGGCTTCTGTGAATCCATTGACTTGGACTACAAAGATCAGTGGAAGCAGGTCCAAGAAAAAATGAAGTTGTGGTACTGTAAAACCTGTATTCCAATTCTTCCTCCATCACTGATAGGCCATGGAAACAGGTAAGTGATTAACCTTCTCTGAAGTTCACTTTACTCAAAACAAGGATAACACAAGCAGAACACCAAGGATCAAGTAAAATAATGTATTTTAAGGTACCACCAATGCTTAACTTTATGGACATTGGTTTTTAATGAGTAGTTTCATAATAATATGTTAAAATTCTTTTTGAGAATATTGTTATGATTCTAGGATATCAAGTTTAGTTGTGTAAAAATAGACTTTTTTGAGGGCAAAGACATTGTTCCTTAATACTCCATGGCAAAAGAACATGATTGAGTGAAAAGGGATGATAATAAACCTCATCTACAATTTAGAATCTTGTATAAGAAGGCAAACAAATTTAGGAAAAACAAGATTATCTTCTCTGTAAATTATAGTTCATTATAAATATTTGGCCATTATATTTCTTAAAGAAGAAAGATGACTTAGATATAAATTGTTGATTAGATTATGTTCCCAAATTTATAAGAAAATAAAGCCAAATATTAATATGAATAGTTATTGTAGAAAAATCAGCTAAATAACTTGAATCAGGCATTTTAGAGTTTTAAGGAATTGAGTAGCTCAACAGTTTTACTGTCGTAACATCTTTTGCTCAATCTGTACATTTGATTTGGTGCCAGATCCACCCTAAAAATTAACAGATGTATTCAAAATGGCTGATGTTATAACTTTAATTGTTACTTTCAAAACCTCTGGCAGTAGTTCTCACATTTCACAAAATATGTAATTCCCAACATCTACTTCCATGTTCCTAGGCCACAAAACTATAATGGAGAAACATTTTTTAATACCAAAAGAAAAATTTGTTCATTACAAGTTCAGGCTATCCAATTTCAAGCATTGCCTCCAACCTTTGTGATCACACTTGTATTCTTCGAATTTTCTATAACTTTTATTTTCTACAAGCCCTGTGTTCACGCTCCCTTGACCCTTTTTTGTGGAGAAAACTAGGCTAATGTAGGAAATGTTGTCTCAACATGATTTTTGACACCTCAAAAATCTTCCTTCAGTTTCCCCTTTTTCCATCCCACTAAAGAGTAATACATACACTTGTTTTCCTTAAGTTGCTTTACTATGAGGCTAACTAAAATCTTGTCCCTTCTTTTCTTTTTCAGAATGTGATTTGTCTCCTTCATCGCATCAGTAGCTTTCCTTATTACTGGCTCATTCTATGCACAAGTCCCTCAGGTTCTCCAAGATTCCGTTTTGTTTTGTTTTTTTTTTCCCTTCAGCAATACCTTCTCTCCTTTGACCAACAACCTTTTTAGAAAAAAATCAACTTATTTCCTCCATTTCTTTCTGATATTCACCTGTTAACTTCCTGCATCTGGATTTTGCTCCCACAAATGTATGAAAGCAGCTGTCTTAAATATCACTACCTCCTTAATTGCCAAATGCAACTTTCATACCTCTTCTTCTAGGCCTTATGTTCATCTGAAATGCTTGGTCACTCTCTTACTCTATTTTCTTAATTTACTTTGTTTTTACACCTTCGTTTGACAAAACCCTTTCCTATTACAGTGGTCCCTTTTCTTGTGATCTACTGAAGTAGATATTTCTCAAGGTTCTGATGTTAATCTTCTCCGTTACCCACAGCAATCGCTACTCATTCCCTTACTTTTGGTAATAAACTTTAGTGGAGTAACTCTCTTACCTCTGTCATAAATGTGACCATTAGCTGAGTTATTTTAAATATCCGCTGGGCACCTTTTCCTCCATGTATGTCAACTCTCACTGGATAGAGAAGATCTCACAATCTTCCCCTTTATCAAACCAGCTTCTCCCCATCTCTTCTTAATCTTTTCTATTCAGCCCCTATATTTCCAATGTCTCAACCTCACAAGCTTGGGACCATATTTGACTTTTCTTCTACCAGCCTCTGTAGCCAAGAAGTTATGACATGTTGTTAAAACTAGCCACAGATAAGCTGTCAGAAAAGGGAAGACCTGAGCAAAGCACATTTATTGAGACTTTAGCTTCCTTACGAGGAGAATGATGCTAATTATATCAATATATTATGTGCCAGAATAAATCTTTCACTGATTTCATACATACACAACAAATGTGTTCTCTCCAGCTGAACTTCAGTGAGACTTTTATCTAAGTACTTCTCAACTGGTATCTATCAATCACCCCACCATGTATTTTACAATGCATTTTACATAGCTATTTATGAGCATGCCTTATCATCCATCCTAAAAGGAAATATAAGCTCCTTTGGTTTAGGAAACATGCCTTAATTTCTTGTTTCTATTTGAAGGCTGTACAGTGCCTTCCCCATACCAGGAGCTTCACAATGGGGAAATTAATGAAACTGATAACTATCAATTGGACTCCATCCACCAACGGAACAAAAGCATTTTCTTCATGGCTAGATAAAATAATAAGGCAGACCATACAAATCCTCTGACTAAAATGACAAATTGAGAATAAGGAAGTTCAGAAGCAACCACAAATAAAAAAGCTGGACAGAGATAGAAGGAATCATAATTAGAGAAGTGGATTGAGATCAGTTTAATTACAAAGAGAAGAAATAAAGATTAGCCAAGCTAGGAGGGGAAAAGGATGAAGTTGCCATTTAAGAGGCTCAGTTTATTGTAAATATTGTAATTAAATTAGAATCTTTTCCTGGAGAGATTTAAAGTTGTAAAACCGAAAGAGGAATATACTTAGAAATAAAATGGGAATATATCTAAACAATGTTAATGCTGTTTTGTGCAAGCAGTTAGGTTATTTCTGTTTAAAAGAATATGGCTTGAAACTTGTTTCATTGCTCAATAAAGGACATAGTTAAAAATCTTTAAAATGACTATTTTTCTTCATTACTCTGCTGGATCTTCCTGAAAAAATGTTTGTAGTTGAACACATCCTGAAACAATAAATTTTTACCGATGCAGGCCCAGTGATCTTAATATATCCTTACTTGCATACATACTTTAATTCTGTTGACTTTATAGCATGGTGGATAAGGGAATATGTAACCATGTAAGTTATCTGGTAATTAATTCATGCCCATTTTGAGTTGACGTTATTTTCCTTTTTTTCTTCACTCAGTTCTGTATTTTTCAAGTTGGCTTCTAACTTAGTCGCTTTATAACTCAATGTTCCTTTAGCATTTAATGATTTAAATCAACTCAAGAATAAAGAAAAACAGTTTTTAAAGAACTTAAGTTTTAGACTGGAAAGATGGCTCCATTGATAAAATGCCTTGCTGTGCAAGCATAAGGACAAGAGTTTGGATCCTCAGTATTCACATTTAAAAATTTAGCACACGATCACACTTGCAATCCTAGTACTAGGGAAGTGAAGACAGGTGCATACTTGGATGTCACTGGCCAGACAGACTGGCCTCATCAATGAGCTTCAGTTCAGTGAAAGATTCTTGTCTCAAAACAAATAAGCACAAAGCCAAAAAAAAAAACAAAAAACAAAAAACAAACGTCAAAGAGTGATTGAAGACATGTGATGTAGACCTTTGGCCTCCTTGTGCACCTGCACATACGCACACACATAAACACAAATACATCACACCCTCCCCCCACACATACAAACACAAACTTCAGTTTCAAAAACTTTGGGATCTTAATTTAATTACTATTCTATCCCACTCTTAGGATAATTTCTGACACATAATAGTCAATTGATAAATATGTACTAAATAAATAGCTGAATTTTCCTGTTTTTCTGTTCTGTTTACTTTTTATTTTTAAAAGGGATATAATTTGCAAATTGTGCACCATGACTACTTTCCCCACTTTCCCCCCCATTGACTAAAGATTCATCTAAAGCCATATAATGATTTTTTACTTAAAATATATGGATATATACTAAGTAAGATGAATAGTTTTAACATTATGATAAAAGTATAATCTACTCTTTGAAACCCAGAGATGAATATATATCCAGTTATACATATCTTCTCATTTGTGTGGGAAAGAGAGAAAAAGAGAAGAGAAATATGAGGAAAGCATAAGATGGTTAGCCATGTGATGAAAAGATATATTTTGTTAGAACACTACAAGACATGCACACTAGTAGTCCCAACTACTTGGAGAGGTTGAGGTAGAAGTATCACTTCAGTCAAGGATGTCAAGACTAGCTTAAGCAATATAGCAAACACGACCTGATATAAAAAAGTGAGAAGAGGGAGAGGAAGGAAAGGAGTAAGGAAGGAGGGAGAGGAAAATGTAAGAGAAGTGGAGGTAGAAGTGGATGGAGGAGGGAAGATGGGGAGAGGTGGAAGGAAGATACAAGCAAATTGAGGGCAATTGTGATAGAGGTGAATTAGTTATCAGATACATATCTACATTTACATATGCAAATATAAGGACAAAAACCATGTAGCTATGAAAGCAGAGGATTAGATGTATGCAAGAATAGAACATACTAGAAATGCTGCCTCAGTAAGAAGTCAGTGTTGCAGGCTGAAGGCATACATTCAACACTCATATATAGCATATATTGAGATGGGAAGTTGTAGAGTGGGAAAGAGAGGGAAACACCCTCTTCTCTGAAGTTCTCATTGCCCCTCATCCAGCTTCCTCATTCCCAGTTATAGACTTGTTGCTTAAATATTTGATCATACAAAAGAAGAAGCAAGCAGCTGCTTTAGCTATAATCACATTCCCTTTCAATGTTTACATAAATTTATGAAAACTCAAGCAAATATCCAAGGCAATTACTCCCCCTACACACACTACTCACATCCTTTGTGTATGCAAATTCACATGACACACATGCACAGCTAACAGCCTTCTTAACTAAGGAGACATGAGAACATAATTTTAATAAGGAAATAAAATAAAAGGGGAACTGGACAGTAATAGAAAACTAGTACATTCTCCTCTTCATCTAGATTAGTAGCAAACACAGGACTCTAAGTTAACCCTTTGCTTTCCACAGTTGAAACAAATACTTTATGTTGCTAGACTGGGGAAGGTTGTTTCCCATTATAATGGAGAAATAAAGAACAAAGCAAAGAATGCCATATCTCTATTTAAATCATACTATTTCCTTTGCAAGAGTGATGTCCTAAAATATCATTGAAAATCCCCTTGCAGTTGTAGGTTTTTTTTCTTTTTGCATCTGTATGTGTGTGTTTGTGAGAATGTGTACATTAAAGAAGGTTTGTTACTGTAGAAAAATGGCTTTCTAGTTTTCTCCTCAAAATTAGACAGAGAATAATATGCACTGTGTAAAAGAGATAGTTATGTCATTTAGTAAGAAATATAATAACATAATTTTCTGAACAGTTCATTAATGGGTACACAGTTCATATACCACAGACAACAAACACATGAAGACAGTTTTGAACTTTTGACTTTTAATTTTTTTCTTCTAAATCCACATTTGAAAGGCAAGTCTAAATAGACTAAATCTTCTAACTCCTGATGTAACAGTTGGTAGTTTTTATGGGAAGCCTGTGAGAGAACTTAGTCCCTTTTCTTTTTGGCTCAAAGTGCATAAAAATCCCTTTGTAGTACAAGGGTGGGGTCATAAAGGTAGAAAGTTTTATAACCCAAGAATTTCCAACCTGATCGAAACTTTTACAACTCTGAGTCTGAATGCATGGGTGCATGTTTGTCTGAAACTGAAGATACAATTTTATACTAATGATCACAACTGTACTTTCTCACTGCAGTGCAGTTCAACGATTTGCTTTTAAGGATCTGGTAACTGACTTATCTAGTATGAGGTATCAACTTCTAACGAAATATATGTTGGGAGAAGAGATCATGAGACATCTTACCTGTTCAGGGTTTTGTACTATGTATCTCCTAATAGTGGTTTGTGGGTATGTTGTAACTTTCACTGTTGGAGAATGGAGTTCCTGTGAAGAAAAAATTAAAATATTATTATAGTTATTTAGTGGCTTGGATCCATCAATAATAAGAATAGGGAATGATTTCTCATAGTGATAATACGAATGGTAATATAGAACTTCATAATTTAACACTAGTCTCAGAAAATACTTTTCAAAATAACGGGCATTTGTTGAACACTGTAGTAACTTCTTGCATTCCACTAATTTCATGGTATTTTTATTATACTTTTTCAGATTTCATTTGATTTTATTATATATTCTCTTTCACTGGAGCTTGACAAGTAAAATAGTCTAAAAGAACTAACATTTTATTTGTCTTTAAGTTCTACCATACAGCAAGTTCATTTTAAAATTGCTTGACAGATAAGACCCAATGGCTCAATAAATTCCTTACCAAAATAATGGAGATTATTCTTTCATAAAGCATTCAAAATGAGAATTTCTCATACCCCAGTTGCTCTCTCATTTTTATATTTATGTACTTGGAATCTATTAAAGGTGGAGAAAAATGCTTATCTTGTATTAAAAATAGATTAATTGAGGTACATTTTCCAATTTTATTTCATTTTTTTTCCATGTTGGAACAATGTTACTCCATGTTTTTATGTCTAAGTTTTCTACTGTCTTCTGAATCTTCTAAGAAACAAGCAGAAATGCTACAGTTTGTGGTCATTTAATAGAATCATCACATTACGCTATTATCATTTTCCTTTAAAGCCAATTTATTTATTTTTAAATATTTTTCATTTATTATTTTTGTTGTATGTGTATGAGTGTATTGCCTGCATGTCTCTGAGTGCAGCCGTGTCATGCAATGCCACGGAGGTTGGAAGAGGGCATCAGAGTCCCCTGGAACTGGAGTTAAGGATGGTGTAGCCACCATGTGGGTGCTGGGAATTGAACCCGGGTCCTCTACAAGAGGACTTCCTTTAACTTCCTTTAACAATTCCCATTTGCCTCCCTACCTTCTTCCTAGTCTGAAACAAGAGAATTTGGAAAATTAAAACTCTATTAAGATGCTTTAACATTAAACGACATTTGATTTAAAGTTGATATTTCCTTCTTTATATACATTTCCACTGGACTTATGATGTGTGTGCATATGCTTGAGTGTACGTAACGTATCATGTGCATGCAGGTGCCCTTGGAAGCCAGGTGAAGGTATCAGAAGCCCTAGAACTGGAGTTACAGACAGTTGTGAGCTACCATTTCGGTGCTGGGAATTAAACCTGGGTCTTCTGCAAGAGCAGCAAGTGCTCTTAATTACTGAGCCATTTCTCCAGCCCTTGGGTCATTCATTTTATGGAAATTATTTCAAAATTCCTTTTCCTTACTTTTTTCTAATCCCCTTTCTTTCTGTACTGTCTTGGAGTGATTAAGTAGTGCCAGAATGACATCTTTAGAGAAAATGATAAGCTTAAGTCACATTCATATTAAATAAGTTATACATAAAAGCTATTTTTTGAGTTTCAGGAAAGAGTTTTATCACAGGTGAAACCTTAAGAGAAAGGAAACAAATATAGCTCTTGTAGAGCAGGAGTGGGTCGCAAGAAAGAGTTGTCACTGAGGGTCCCATCCTAGGAGTAAATAAGGCTTAACTGGATTAAGGCATTGAGTGGAAGGTGTAAGCGTGTCAGCCCAGTTTCCCACTCATGAGATGTTCATGTGCTGATCCATCCCAGTGTGTAGACTGGAGGACTGGCTATCAGGCACAAACTATTTTTAATGTTTACAGTTTCAGTCTCTTTTCTCTTGAATCTGGGTTATTAAATTGACTGAAATGCACTGTGGCTTCCTGGTTCTCCTGGCTTCTCTTTTTTCCCCCAATTCACCTGTCTACTTGGCCTCTAGGAGTACTTCCAAGGAGATGTGCAGTCACCCTACATGACTAGGATGGCATGACAATCATCCTGACCTGGCACATACCTCTAGTGTAATTAATTTAAAAAATACTCATGCAGTATATGCAAACATACACAAAAAAAGAAGTGTGGGCAGTCAGCAAAACAGTGCAGTGTTTCTGTGTCCTAAAATCAGAAATGATGTCTGCACACCTCTTCTCAGTCTCTTTAATACTTGCTGGCTGGCCCCTTGGAACTGTTTGATATAGCGGTCTGAAGAACTCTGTGTGCCATCTATCCATTGCTATAAAGCTGGATCTGGTCATACCTGCTCCAGTCTCCTTTCAGATAATCCACCCAGAATTTGTACTGTGCAGTAGAGTTCAATAGAAAACAATGCTGAAGAGGTTGGGTGTCCCTGCTTTCTTGCCTCTGGTGATGAGCTGAATGCTGTCACCATAGCAACAGTGCTGGGAAGCCACTCTGATACTTTTTAGAAACATGAAACTGATGCAATGCTGGACTATGTACCTACAGATCTTCATTTCCTCCTTGGTCAGCCCTGGCATCCTTTGAGAGATGTATTCTTGCATGATGTAGTTAAAGAAACTAGCATAGCCATATTGTAGGAAGGGAACAGGGACAGCTGGGAAATCACTGATTACCTCATGTGTCTTTTTCTTTTAGAACTTTCTTTGCCAGCATATCCATCACTCACTGTTGTGCCCAATTCCAAAAAGTTAGTGGCTTCCCAAAACCAGTTCCTTTAGGCTACACATGTTCTGAAAGTATCTTCAATTTATGGGGGCAGTTTGGACCTCTACAAGTCCTAGATTCCATTTCAGTGCCTGCAGAGCCATCAGACTCTCAGTGTGCTTATGGTTGCCCTTAAAGTAGGTGATGCTACAGACAGACCATGAACTGCAGTCACCCTCGCCACCTGTGGAATCATATTTTGATTGCTGATTGGTTTCAAAAGTCTGATGGCCTGATGTTGGATGGTCCCACCCCATCGAAGTGTGTTAAAAAGTTGTCTGAAGGGCTGGAGAGATGGCTCAGCGGTTAAGAACACTGGTTGTTCTTGCAGAAGACCCAGGTTTGAATCCAAGCACCCATATGGCAGCTAACAACTGTCCATAACTCCAGTCCCAGGGGATCCTACAGCCTCTTCTGACTCCGTGGGCATTGCACGTCACAGATACGCACATACACATAAATTAAAAATTATAAATAAATTTTTTTAAGTTTTCTGAAGTACTTTCCTATACACAGTCCTGTACCCATTGTTTGCCCTCAGCAGGTACGAAGATTTCTGCCATCAAGCCCATCAGTCAGGGGATAGGGCCACTAGCTGGGCTTAGGCCTTGGTTATGGATGTTTACCAACTTCAGAGTCAGGGCTTTTGACTACCTCTACAGCGACCTGTGTATTTGTATTCCGCCCACTGATATCAGATTTGGAAAGATCTGGAAAGGTTGGTAGATCAAGGAGAAAAGATCAGGAGCTAACGTTTTGTAATGAATAGCGCCTGATTGCTTGTCTGATTTGCTGCCTGGGGAAGGGTTGATGGTTCATGTCTGAAGGTCAGATTGTCCTCTGGTGACTCCCTCAGAGAGGAAAAGCTATTTCTGATGTGGAGTCACTTTCCTTGTTGAGGTTATTCGGCAGCTGAGTCAAATGAGTGTTGCCCATGGCAACATTTGTCCATTCGGGACCATACAGAAGTGTCCTGTGTGTGAACAGCAGCAGCTTCAGGAGCAACAGCAGCAGCTTGGATGCCAGATGCCTCACCACACTTTCTAAAATATATTTTATGAGAGTTTTGAAGTATTTGTTTTATTGACAGCATCCCTCTATGATTAGAAAGAAATATTGCTTAATGTTTAACAGTTAAAAATGGTTTTAAATGGAGCTGGAGAGTTGGCTCAGTGGATATCATCATTGGCTGCTCTTGCAGAGGACCATGGTTCAGTTACTCACATCCACATGGCAGCTAACAACCTACCATAACTTAAGTTCCAGGGGATCTTATGCCCTCTTCTCCACGAGCATTACATGCACACAGTGTACTTACATACACACAGATAAAACACTCATCCACAAAATAAAAATAAATGGTTTTGAGAGTGAAATCTATATTTAATTTTTATTCTCATTTGCTCTTCATTCATTCATTTTGGAGAAAGAGTCTCACTTTTAGTACAGGATGGACTAGAATTCACAATGCAATCCAAACTGACTTTGTGCTAGTGATCCTCCTGCCTCAACCTGTTGAGAACTGACATTGCAGGTATGAGCTATCATACCCACTTCACTCTCCATTATGAGTTCAAGGCCAGCCTGGTCTACAGAGGGAATTCCAGGTCAGCTGGGGCTACAGGGAGACCCTGTCTCAAAAAGACCGGAAAAAAAAAAAAATGGAAGGAGAAAGAAAAAGTGTGTGTGTGTGTGTGTGTGCTTATTTAAACATTTGAATATTCAGTATGTTGGAGGGAGGAGTGTGTAAATTATATTAAAAAGGACAGAAAATCCGCCTGTGGTGATGCAGCTCTGAAACTGCAGTACTTAGGAGGCTGAGGCAGGAGGATCATGATTTCTAGCCTGGGCTACATACTGCGACTGTCTCAGAAATTAAAAAAACAAAAAAAAAAAAAAAAAAAAAAAAAAGACCAAAAAAAAAAAAACAAAGGAAGAAAAAGAGAAAATAATGGAACAAAGTCATTTGTAAATTTTATGTGGAAAAGTCAATATTATTAATATAAGTAGGTTGTTAGACATCTGTGGGAAAATATTTATAAACTAATAACAAAGTGATCAAATACATGTACAATTTAATAAAATAGGGCTCAAGAATCATTGCAGAAGACAGACTGGAAAAACGGAAAGAGACAGAAGTTGTGGACATCTGCAGTGAACTGTATGCTTAACATAACAGGACTGTTACACACATGAACTCACAGTGGCTGTGACTGCATGTACCAGACCTGTACAAGATCAAGTCAGCAAAAATCCTAGTTCTCTTAGCTGAGAAGCAATTGGCAATTGGGGTACAGAAACTTTTCTTCAGGAATGTTGCCCCTGAATGGTTACCAGGCTCTAATAGATGGTCCCTCACCCATGCATATACAGGCAGCAGTAAGTGGACTCAGTGGGTTTAAATGAGAGAGAGAGAGAGAGAGAGAGAGAGAGAGAGAGAGAGAGAGAGAGAAGGGGAGACATAAAATTGGGAGGGAAAAGTGGAGGGATAGGAGAGATATTGGAGGGGAAGGAATGAATGGTTAATGGATTTGATTAAAACACAAGCCCATATATTTGTCAAAAAATTAACACAGTACCTTCTCCCTTGTCTTTCCCTTAAATGTGATATTTCTTATACTGCCCACCCATGTAACTTCAAATTTAATATGCTTTATATTTTGTTTCCTTATCATCTACTTTTTGATATATGGCAACTAGCTAAACACATACTTATTACTAGAGAATTTGTTATTATAGATATCTGTTGGATATATAATACTCATATTACAGAGTAATCCTAGAAATGAGATTATTAGGCCATATAGGTGAATGGAGATAATGCCTGCATGTCTTCCAAATTACACACCCGTAAAAAGATAAATATTTGCCCTGTAAGATATTATCTCTGAGTGTAAATTTAAAGTACTTCCACTCATAAAGTCAGTTCCTCAGCCAATCCACGATAAAGGTATTTTATGTGTACTGAAATCAAGGACCCTTAAAATACCCACCCTCACTAGGTGAATTTTTATTAAAGAATTAACAAAGAATTAAATTAAAAGGCACTCAAATGAAAAGCAATTTGAGTGAACAATGGAAGTGAAAAATGAGATTCACTGCACTTGCTGTACATTTATTTAATGGACTGAGCTTGTTTTCTTATAAGAAAACATACTCTTTTCTTTTTGAATTATGACATTTTGTTAATGTATAGTTCTGTGAGGGCCTGAAGATTGCTCACACATATGAACAAGACTTACAAAAGGAGAAAAAAAATCTAACGTATCCCACCACTTCACTTACCTGTTCAGTATTTTGTGTTATGTGTAGAGTGCTTGGTGTACAAGTAGATATTTTCAGAGTTGGAGAATGGAGTTCCTTTTG